CTGCCTCATAGCAAAGTAGAACTGAGAGGGCCTCTCCCATCAATGCAAAGTGCACCTTCCTGTCCTCAAAGAGGACACAAATATAATTTTTATGAAAACTACTGTAAGGGAATACAGAAAGCACAGTCCTTGCCAGTCTAAATCCATTTGGTGAGGAAGGTAGTTCTTGTGCATGAGAAGCAGGGAATATTTATTGTATGACAGAACTACTGCAAGACCAAGTCTTTTTCCTGGTTTCATCTTCTGAAGAGCATCTTCCAGTCTTGACTGAAGATTTTTCTACTGCTCCAGCAAAGCCTCATCATTCAACTTCAGCAAGGGGAGAAGGAACTTAAGCCAGAGCAGATCCAGTCTCGTTAGAGTACCCTGCACTACTCATCCCAGGCACTCCAACCAGTACAGGTTTTACAGGAATGTTCTCTTCCCCTTGTTCAGGACACTGGGATCTCCTTTGTCTTACACTGACCCTCTTAACAATAGGACATGACTTGATACAAACTAAGGTGATTTTTACTGTTTCAGGTTATTTTTGTTGTTCTTGCTCTGGGCTTTTTGTTAAGCTTCCTGCCATGGTCCTACCATTGATCATCCAAGCTCAGCCTTAAGCTTTTTCTCCATAAAGCTTCTACAAAACTCTCCTCATGTAAGTTTTGCCAGCTTTGGCTTTAGACACTTGCTCCATTGTACCTTTCTTTGGAGCTGAGAAAAAGAAAAAGATGCTGACTCCTTATTAACAAGCCACATGCCTGATGTCCTTCAGGACACACACATTAACCCAATGTGGTTTTACACCTTGCTTTCAGAAACAGCATTTTTGTGCACAATGTTATGCCTGAGCTGTGGACAAACAAGGATGTTTCCGATGGGAACTCCAGAACATACTTCCATTCCTGGCCCACACAGCTGAAATCTGTTAAAGGGCAAAGGAAAAAAAGCTGCAGAAACCCTTTTTTCACTCTGCTGTAACAAGGCAGAAAAATCTTGAAAAACAGGAAGAAAGCAGGGTACACATAGACCCTGTAGGTTTTTTTCTGCACTGTGGCAGCCACTGTTCCTGCACAGCACCTTTTCTGCCACTCTGGGGAGTTATTTCTTACTGAAATACTTCTCCAATTTGTGCCAGCTTTATTCTGTGAGAGAATGATCTCATATGATACTGTTTTTATGTTCAGTTGACAAACTTGAGACAGTAAAAGATTATATATAAACATTAACATACAATGGTAGCATAGGAACTGCTTCCAACCAACCTGTCAGAACCCAAGCTCCTGACTACACTTTTATTTATAAAACCATAAGGTAATAAAGGAATCTAGTGCTCTTTCTGCAGTAGGAATTCTGTATTTAAATTGCACACCCTTCAAGATGTGTCTGCTGGGATGTCACCATAAACAAGAAGCATTAGGAGTGTGATGGCCTGCTTTGTTAACAGGGAAATAATTGCAAGGGACATGGATCAAAGTGCCTTGATGAACATACATAAACAAATTTGCACTAAAGCTTTTTAAAGTAAAAGAAAAAAAATAATTCTAATTTGCTTCTCAAAATATACATGCCAATGCTTTGGCATTTTTTTTTCCTGAAAGGATGTTATTTCAAAGTGTCTATCTTATACCTAATAACATACCTTTAAAGAGGAAAATTTAATTGAAACTCACCTGCACAGCCAGTGATTGTATTGAACTTGATTGAACTGCCACTTTCACATCATCTACATGGATTTAGTTGATCTTTTAGAAGAATCCTGAATGGAGCCTAAAAACATGAATAGGAGCACTACAGACCTGCAAGCAGAAATCCCTGCTCTGGTGACTCCTCTGTATCAATCAGACTGAAAACTGCAAGAGGATACTCAGTATTATCAAACTCTAAATGATTGTGTAAATACAACAGACAAGAACAAACCTTACTGGAATAACATCTGGATTTATGGAGCCTTTACATGGAAAAAAAATATTCCTTTTGCCAAAGTAATCCTCCCCCCATACTGAATCAGCCTCTGTTGCCAGGGGATGAATTATTTTTCCATGTCTGCAATGCCTTCAAGCACAAGTAGCACCAGTGAAGTATTTGAAACTGGCCCTTTTCCACTTCTGTCTCAAAGGGGAAGGCTCTCAAAGCAAAGTGCCTATTAAAGACTAAGCATAAGCATGTGCTGCTGAAGACTGTACCTCAGAAGATTGGATTGATCTATTCTGCATCTAAATCTGGACATCCCACTAGCTTCAGCAGAGTACAGCTGCAGGGAGAAGACTGAAAGAGATACAAGATTCATAAACCACCTAATGAATCCTTATTAAAACACAGAGCTGAAATTCAGATGAATGAGGTTGATTTTTAAAGTGCTTGAAAGGACACTAAAATCATTACAAGGTTTTTCCTTTAAAAAGTATTTTCTTATGGCACAAGTTCTAAAATGTGATGTCCTTCTGGTTTGTATCTTCAAGATTTTTTCACTGTTGACTTACTGAATACTGTTCTCCCTGTTTCTGATTGTTTTATCAAGAGATGCCCATTGTCTTAAAGGCACATTAAGTAGAAGAAACTAAAGCTCCAGAAAAATGACTGATTTGGAACAAATTATTTCAGAAATTCATAGACTGAAAATATTCAGATAACTCTTGGGGTATGAGTGCAATTTTTGACACAGCCTGATAGTGTTGCATGTTTTGCTGGTTAGCTGTGTTAAATACTGTTGGGTAGTGGGATCCATGTCATGCTAAGTTTGGAAATGTTTGTTGAATAAACTGGGACACAATAAACAGATAAATGCTACAAAAAGGCTTCAATCTCCTTAAACACTGCAGAAGTTACATAACTGCTCTTAATGGGACAATGTTTGTGTGGGGATATCAAGAACAGTGAACCACAGCATTCTGTCACCTTCCTTTTATTGTCATATCTCCATCCAGCCCCCTTGAGTACAGGGGAGAAAGAGAAATCATCTGCTTGCAAAGCCACATATTCCAAAGAAAACATTCAATTTCAGAAAACTAGTGGCAGGAGATTTCATACAAGTGTAGGATAATAAGGCAGAGCTCAAATCTTTTTCCTGCACAGCACCATTTAGTTAAGAAAATCCATGGAATCACTAAGGAATTTCTACTGTATATCAAGTATTGCAAAGATTTCTGAAAAGTTACAGCAAAAGTAGGCAGAAGATGCAGATTACAAACAACTCAGAGAGAACAGAGGAGAGTTTATTACAGTGTCTTACAAGAGCTCTTCTTCCTCTCCCTCACTCCTAAGAATTACTGTAGGAAGCTTGGGTTTGAAGGCAACATGAAGCAGAACAGCTTTTTACACTGCACTGCTGTCCATGAGGAGATGAACCCTCTTCCCTAAGCTCAATAGCTGTTTCCATATATTTATTTTTTCCAGCAGTCTCTCATAACAGCTCGAGAGGCTGGGGAAGTGCTAAGCCACTCCTGAAACAATCCACTCTTTCAGCAACCTTGGAAGAGAGGTGTGATCTCTGTTCTGGCTTTGTCAGTGCACTTACAAGAGATATAAAGAGAAAATGAATTGTTTTGCAAGACATTAAGTACCAGTTTTCAGACTGAAACATGTGGTACCACCATGTCACGGGACCTGTCTGATGTCTTGTCTCATCCCAACAGAGCTGGTCTAAGGCAGATCAAATGTCCTTGTGAAAGCTGCAAGATGCCTCTTGATTATGATGCACCTTCAGACCCAGTGCTGGGGTCCTTCAGATGTTACAGGATTGCTTACGTTATGCAAGTGCTAAACAGTTTTTTAAAAATTTATATATAAACTTGCTGTACCAACTGAAAACAGTTAATTTACTACCCGTAGCTATTTAAACACAGAAATTTAAACAGCCTTCATTCCTGATCTCCTGAACCAGGATCACTTTCTATAGTTTACACTCTGGGTGTCCAACAGCAACTCCCACTCCACACAAACACACAAACTCCTATAGCAACAGGCACAGATGAAAACTTTAAAAAAAAACCAAAAAAACAAAAAAAAAAAACCAAAAAAAAAAAAAAAAAAAAAAAAACAAACCCAGGATGAACAGGAAAAAAAAAATCTCACTTCAAGCAGCTTTATAATGCAGGAGTCTGATTAAAGTGGAGATAGTAAAACAAGCAGCAAGACTGAGATGTGACAGTCATTTTTACCTCTGCTCATGACTGCATCGAAGGCACACCGATGACCTTTGAGCCAGTTCAGAAGCTGTCCTTTATCTGTGAAAGTTCAAGTCAATTGTGCTTTGAATAAATACTTCTCTGTAGTTACACTTGAACTGCTGCATTATATACTAGAAATACAGAAAGTGTCCATGCACAGCCCTGAAGCACTTTGAGTATAGCCCTTGCCAGGTCAGTTCATGGGTCACAGAGGTCGTAGGCATCACCAGCACACAGAGATGGCAGGCACACTCCCACAGAGACACAGCATCCAGAGCGCCACCGGCCAGACGGAGAACCAGAATGGAAGAAGGATGGAAAGCAAAACTTGCTTGCAGGAGTTCAGCATTCAAGGTTACAGCTGCAGAACCCCGACCAAGCTACTGTGATAACTGGCAGGAGCCTCTGCTAGGACAAGTTTCCTACTTGGAGTTCATGGATGGAGTCTAACGAGGCTCTTCAAGGAATAATTCAGAGAGCAGCTGAGCTAGTTGTTAGTCATTTGCCTTGTTCATTTGTGGTTGTCACTATGTTCATTCTTAAAAATCCCTCCCTTAAGCTTTAACAGAAAAAAAAAAAAAAATCCAGTGCTTAAAACAGAGACCAGCAACTGAATTTTGTAAGGCTTTGGGCTGACTCTCACTGGAGCACAGCACTGCTCATAACCAATGGGCTTCCCAGTGCCCTCAGCACACTCAGTACAACAAAAGCTGTACAGAGCACAGCAACCCTGAGATAATCAAAGTATAAAGGAAGAGATGGAATAAATGTGAGATATGTATGATAATCCTGCCACCTAGAAGAGATTCTGAAAAGGACACTCTTGCTAATTACACAACAGGAGCAGCAGTGGAAAAAAATAAGTCAGTATATTTGTGTTTTTCCTTTGTTTTACACACACACTCCCCTTAACTGGTATCCATGCAGGATTCCCTGCAGAACTGTCACTAGTGTTAAAAATCAGATCTTTATAGTCTGTCTTTTTTTCTCTACCAAGTAGAGTTGGAATTGGTTTTGATCTCCCAAACTGACTGCAGAAAGGAAGGTCTTTCTCTCCCTTCTGTCTAGGTCACCCCTCCTAGATCCCCTCCCTCCTAAGAACCATGTAAGTATGAGAAGCCCTAATTAAACATAACCAACTTGATATTATAGTTTTGTCATCTTCTTCCAAAAAAATTTTTTAAAAAAAAGCAAAACACACAATCAACGCCTCACCCACCCCATAAACAATAGTTCCATTTAAAAAAATAAATAAATAGTGTGTATATTTCATGCTGAAAAAAAAAAGTCACAGAAAGGATTCATTTTTTGGTTTTCCCTCCCCCGAACACGACACCAGGCATTTTCTCCCCCCTCCCCTGACGTAGACACGATGGTACATCCAACCATGTGCATCTGTGTTCAAAATGAGTTTCTACTCCTGCACGGTCCCACATGCATCAGGGAGCATCCAGCTTAGCTGCTAAAGCAGAGCAAAGGCTTTCAGGTTTTGGGTATGGTCCCTGCCTGTTCCTTTGGTCCGTCTGTTAAAAGGCTCCTTGCTGCTCCCAGGTCTCTGCTCTTGTCTGTCTCCGTTGAAACGCGCCCTGGTCCCCACGTTCCGGTCACTGGAGCTTCGTACCCAGCTTGCGCTGTCTGTTCCTGCAAGGCAACACGGGCACAGGTGACACAGGGGACCCCAGCCCCATCCCAGGGGGCTGCAACAAACCACAGGGAAATACAGGAGGATTGAAGTGTGCCTCTGCTTAGCTACACACAAAACTGAAGTGCCCCTGCCATACCCACCAAGCTGATCATTCCTTCCCTTTCCCCACACTCCCAGAACACCCACCCCGTCCTCAGAGTACACAGCTCACGTGTGGATGCAAGATTATAAACAACTGCTTGCAAAATCCATAAGCCAGGGAGCCGAAATGGTACCTAAATGAGATTAAATTATTGAATCACACCCTCTAAGGCTCATCCTGCAGATGCAGTCATTAACCCACAACTTGGTATTTCCTTACTTTGAGCTATTCTACCCACAGCAGCCAAAAATTATCAGCTACATATCAGAAAATTAGTTAATAACTGCATCTGAAAGGTCAGAGCAGCAACAGCTCCTCCATTCCCAAGAGAACTTACCTTGCTTCTGCTCTCGTGACTGTGTATTCAAACCACAGGATGTTAGGAATGAGGCTGGTATCTCGGATTAAAAAGAACTCTGAAATTGGCCTGAAAAAGGACAATGTGGTGGAAAGGGGAAAATAATTAGACTTTCTTCACTGGAATTTTGATTTAAAAAAAATAAAAAAACCCCCAAAACCCGCTCTACTTAACAGTACTACTCTATCACTTCAGGCCGTCAAAAAGATTCTTTGTTCGATTAAAAAAAAAAACATTTTTTCTTTCCTTATGCAATATTTCCAGACTATATTACATGTAAATAGCTCTGCAATTTGACTAGGTCATTAGACATTCATTAAGAAAGGTCTGCTGTTCATCTTGCAAAGCTCCTCCAGCAGGCTTGCCACACCTCACAGCTTTAGCAGGGCTTTACAAAACGTAGCAATTGATTGAATTCCCTCTTCCCCACCCTTATCAAGGACACATGATCCTTTGTATATATGCATGCACAAGAAAACATGGAGGAATAAAGTAGGTTACACAACAGCCAGTATGCAAAACTGGGACAGAGCCCAGGAATTCTCATTTCTAACATCCCTAACAAACCTCCACAGAATAAACAGACTTACCACGCTGCTATCCTCGGGAAGAGGGGAGTTAGGATCTCCTGTGTGAAGGCAAACCAGGCTATGGCCATGATGCTTCCTGCCACACCTCCATATAGGACTTGGCTCCAGGTGTGGTAAAGCAAATAAACCCTGCAGTGGAAGAGGAGAGTCACCAGACAGGCTTTAAAACAAAAGGAGCCAAGACTCAGGAGCTGAGGTGTCACTGGACTCACAGACATGGGTGCGAGCTATCCTCCAGACATTAAAAGTGGATGTCTTTTTCCAGTAAAAAGCTGGCAAAAATAGTGGGGGAAAAAAAATTGGGGAAAATTCTTCCCTACTACAGCAGTTTTGGCTTGGAGCACTTCTAGTTTGAGCTTAACTCAATAACCCTCCACCCATCTTCAGATCAGCTGAAGAACTAATCCTGTTAGTTCCCACAAGAGACTTTTCCAAAGGCAGTAACAGGACAAGTCTCCTCCAGGCCACCAAAGCTGGGGCTTAAAGGCTTTTAAGAACATGGACAGCATTTTTTTTTGTGATTTTGGTGCTCTCCAATGTGACAGGCACAGTGGCTGCATGACCAATGTGCTCACTGTGACTCCATTCAGAGCTGCACTGCTGGCCTGCACAAGCTACATTCAAAATTCTTTTTGCTCACATATCATTATGATCATCTTATCTGACCTTCTGTCTAACATAGGTCACTTGATTTCCTCTAATTTTGTTTTAATTAGACCATATACCGCTGACAAATTTGTCCTGTCAGGCTTTTAAAATAATTAGTAATAAGTAATCAGCTGTAGTGTACAGTCAACTGTGCCAACAGGTAATTACTTTCCTGTGGAAAATGTGACCCTATTTCTAGCTTGAATTTGTTTGTTTTTCCAATTACTAGAGCTCACTTTACATTTAATCTACTAAAGAGAAAAAAAAATCATGATCACAGTTCCATTTTCTTTATCTATCTCAACAGAACTAAATCTTGCAAGCCAACAGCTCTAAATGTTTTGATTAACTAATGCTCAAGCAAAACACTGGGATTCTCAACTGTAGCCATCCACATGCTGCAGACGCTGCTGCACCCAGGCATGGGGCAATGCCTCCACACTTAGTGCTGGAAAGAGGGCGAGGCAGTGAGGCTGGATGGAGCATGGCACTGGAGCCCCTGGGGAACTGGCACAAGTTCAGCTGATTTGGGGTTTTGTAAATGCTTCTGTGAAGCACCACACAGGGAGAACCTTTGTTTATTGAGTCTCATGGCAACACTTCTACAAAGCTCTGACTCCTGTGGCACAGTGGAGAATTAGGTGGGAAAGGCAGGATAAGGAATGCCAGGGCTGGTGGCTGGGACAGGCCACGAGGCTGTATGAGAGCAGAAGAGAAACAGTTGCTCCATACCTACTATATGAGACTAGCAAAGCCACTGTGATGAGGCAGATGGACAGCACATGTCGCCATAGCAAATCCAGAAACCTCGCATTGTTTGTTTGGTGCATTCTGAAAGAGATGGAGAGCCATTAGCACAGGGCAGGGAGCTGAGCAGTCCTGACCTCCCTCCCTCTGAAACCCTAGGGAAGCTTTACTCCACTCAGGTCATGGGCAGCTCAATCCCATCCCAGCAGCAATCTGTCCCACTGGCAGAAGTTAAAGAGCAGCCAAGAAGCCACACGTGCTTCTCTCCAGCTGTGAACAAGGATTGCTGTGATGGAAGGCAGGATGCTCACACTGATGTGAGAGGCACGTGCTGGGCACATGCAACAGGGAGCCAAGACAGAGTCCCTCCATCACCTACAGAGCCAAGAGGAACTGAGTTTTGTCTTCCTCCACACACAGAGCCACGAGACAGAGCCATGCCTCAGCAAGAATTTCATTAAAGCACCAGTAAACCCAGCACTTGGTAAGGGAAGTCAACTAAAGTCATACAAGTGGACAGATGGTATTATCCAAAAGATTGTAGATAATCCCACTGAAACTGAGACAAAATGAAAAAGCAGCTCTTCATTTCTCCTCCCTATACCCCATCTCCTCCCTCATACTGGGACACCATCACAGCTTAGAGAAACTCCAGCCCTACGTTCAGATTGAGACAGACATGCTTCAATCCCACCCGAGCCACAACAAATTGTGCAGGTCCTCAGATTTAATTCCATTATCCCACTCAAGTGACACCCAGCAAGGGAGCCACCCATTTCAGGTGTTTCAACATATTAACAGCCAAAATATGACCTGGAATTTTTACCTTAAATAAAGGAACAGAAAGGAATAGACAGAGAAAAACCACATGAATTGGGAGTGGCTGGACGGCATCCCGTATTTTGTGGTCACTGTTGAATGGGCTTCTGGGAAGAGAAGAAAAAAGAAGAGTATGGTCAAGGTATGGTCAGCAGCTGGAACACTCCAGATGTGAAGCCAGACCGTGCTGCTGGAGCATGCACAAAGCTCACAGGACATGTCCCTGCTCAGGAAGCTCTGTCAGCTTTTTTACACCCAAACATCCACAGCCAACGTGAGACAAAGGGGGAAAACCCCTCTAACTCCCCCCAGTCAGCATTCCACCCCAAACTCCCCTGACACCACCACACTCATGGTCCATACCCTACCTTCGCACGGCCGAGGCTCCCGGATTACATTTTTTATTAACCAGTTCACTGCCTCGTTGAACACCAGCCCTCCCAAGAAAGAGATCTGTGAAGGCAAGACAGCTGTGTCATCCCCTCTAAGAGATCCTTCTACTTACCAGGCTCTCTCTGTTGGTAAAACCCCAAACATTATGCTTCTAATTTTCTTTTTTGACTACTAGAGTTAAAACCAATGGCTTCCAAATTCTATACCTGAGAAGAAAAGTATTTATTTTCATCTCACTTTCTATGTGGCAACATATTGTGTACATGCAGCTTTTCAGCAGCTGACACACAGAAAGACAAAAATGGCACAGTAAGGCACTTCTGCCAGCACCTTGCACCACTGAGTGCAGAAAGTGACCTTTTTAATAGGGCAGGTTTTTGGGAACTGGCTTTTCCCAGTGACCAACAGGGGGAGTGCAGACACTGTTATTTGGGTAAATAGTTTAAAACAAAGGTGACTTTTCAGGCTTTCTGGCTTTTCCCTCTATGAATATTTTCATCTTGAAGCTGCTGTCTTCAGTCTAAGATGAATTCACATTTTGAGCTAAGCCAGACCTGGTAGCATTTATTTTTGCTCTTCAACTTCACAGTTCATACACCTCCCCTAAATTAGTCCTGCTGCTGTGATCAAATTCCCAGCTGGTGATGACACTGCCTCCTTAGCACTCAGTCCTATTCCACATGATGAAGCAATTTTTCACTCCACATCCTGAGCCACAGCTCAGGCTGCTGCAAGTCAGCCAGTGTCTCTCCCCAGCCCAGTGGTGACTACCCACACGAAGAACTGAGACTCAACCTCAACACTTGTCTCCTTACCAACACCAAACAAACCCCTGTACTGAGAATCCTATAAATCTGTGCAATAGTTACTCTGGCTTCTTTTCTCTTTTGGGCCAACACAAAACCTGTGAGTTGTCAAAACTGTACAGCTGCCTTCCCTAGTTAAAAGTCCTATTCCCTTGGGCCACTGGTTCCCATGACACTGCGGCCCCACATTCGAAACGTGCTGTCAAAATCCTTTCAGTGGCCCCTGTTTTATCTGTTTACTGAGGACAAATGCTACAAGAGGTTTATATGTCCTAGAGGGAGCTTATCCATGACACTGATTCCCAACTACCTGGCAGAGCAGATAAAAAGCATTTTAAGAATTTGGATTGAAACAAGTCTTTTCTGCCCCTGGTATTCAACTCACATTTGAAAAGCAGCTCCTAAAGACAGATGCACTCCCTTGGAAAGCTTTAGGTTTTATTTTTATCCCCTTTTCTGCCTCAGTAGTTCAAAGAAAGTGCATCCCCCTGAGTTACACACACCATTTCCTGGATATGCTGCCCAGTGCTATGATCCTACTGGATCTTGGGAGTGTTCCCACTCTGCAACAGCATTCTGTACTTCCTCAGACATCTCCCTCGATGGCTCTGGACAGATAATGTCCAAAACACACCAGCATAACAGAGATGTCAGAAAAGGCTGGGCAGCCTTTTAACCTGGTACGGGTGCTAAGTGTCTCCTGCTGTTCCCTGACAGGAAGATGGCTTTCCTCAGCTTGCTCCTTTTAGAGAGAAAAAGAAGTGTGAATACAGGAGCCCCAGGTGACAAAGGAAAAGACTTTTGTCATAAGGAGAGGCTGGGAAGGGAGAGAAGGACTCACCGTGTGAAGCTCTCTCTTGAATATGATGAGTGTTACAAAGCCAACAATAATGAATATTGGACCAAGACTCAAATAAGCTAAAAGCTGGCCAGAGAAATCACCTGGGGAAACAAACAAGAGAAACCAATCAGTGTGAACTTCACAGGTACTTGCCTGCCACCACAACATGGGTCAGTCCGAGCCCTGCATCACAGAGCAGAGGGGCAAACTCAGCAGTGCAGCAAGTCCCTGTGATCCAGAATGACAGAGGAGCTGAGGCAGGGGGACAGCAGTGCTTCTTTGCAGGTTCAAAATCAAGGGTGAAAGGAACCTGGAATCATTCAGCAGAGATTACTGCCACCCACTTTACAACAATAACCATGGGTGTGGGCCCAGAGCCACTTTAATCCAACATGAGCACAGGCTGCTGCAAAAGAGGCAGCATCTTTCCCTTCTCCTCATTCCTATTTCTTCTCTGAGCCAGCAAACAGTCCCCAAACAAATCCTTTCCCACTCCCCCACCAAAATGGGTTAGTTTTCAGCTGGATCAGCTTCCTAATCTGTCTCACCATGTGTCTGCACAAACACCAGCATGAGCAAAATGGGAAGGAAAAAACAGCTAAACATAGCAGGAGATGTCAGGGAAATAAAGGAGATTCTGCCTTTTTAACCAGTAACCCACTTGTACACACAGAGGGGGATTTGGGCCTCCAACCCAAATAATTAAGAGTCTAGTTATCCCCCAGGGAGAATCAGGGAGCAGCAATGGGACCTCACAGAGGTCATAAGGTCTCTCAAAACCTTTATTCTGAACTGCAACAGACACAGAAGTGGGCAGCCACAGTAAGGAGCAGCTGTGCATTTTGATCCAAGTTTCTCTTGCCTCTCTTCCCCAAAAAGGGATGCATACAGAAGTATTTGGAGAAAAGATGTCAGCACAAATTCCGAGGACACAAAAAATTATCAGAGCAATTTTGCTCCAACATCAGCAATTTGTATGAGAAGAGCCAGAACTGTCTGCCAGAGAATCTTTAAATACAGAAGTCACAAACTTGCTGTATGAACCCAGAGAGCAACAGAAGAGATGGGTACTTTGAGTATTGGTTTTCACAGACCAGATCCTCTCCATCCCATCACTGAACACAAAAGGCTCAGCCCCCACATAAATTGGTCCCCTCTTCCCTCCTCTCAAAAGGAAACAGGATGCCTCTGCAAGTCGGAGCATTGGACTCATTCCTAGATCAATTCCACTGCAAGGCACCCAGGCTCTCCAGCCCACACACCCACATTTCAAAGCAGCACTTAGCAAAAAGGACTTTAACCTCAGCCTCTGAGTGCTGGAACTGATAAAAAAACAAGTTATTGCTCCTTTACAACAAAGTTCATGCTGCTGATGTTATTGCCACATAGTTGTGGTTACATCAGGTATAGTGCATGGAAGCCTCTGGAATTCCAAACTCTGGGTTAAATTTAGGAACCAGCAACATCACCAGCAAGGATTACTAGCAGGAGTTAGGTGAAAGGAGGAAGATTTGGAGGACAAAACCCCCAGGCATGCTGGGCTTCCATTGAAGTGAGGTTCTGCTTTGGTTTTAACCTGAAAAGCATTGGAAGACACTGAATTTGAAACTTTTCTTGCTCCATATGGCAGGTTTGTCTTGCATCAGGTGCATTCCAAATGCTCCCAAAGCAATGGGTTATGGTAACACAAAGGGGATGTAAGTGATGGTAACACAAAGGGGATGTGACAGTACCAGTTACTTGACAATAGACAAGCCCCTTATGGTTTTACATAAATCACAAACTCTCAACAAAATGAGCTCTGTCGTCAATGATGAGGGAATTCATGAGAGAAGGCACCTTGTCAAGAGACAATTAAACTACCCTGAAAGCCTTAGGAATACTTTCCAAAAGTCTCAATTCCAGCATTACCAAATAAAGAGAACTCATCATCAAGAGATCACCGTGTTTCAGATCACTCATTCTGTTAATCCACGGTACATAAAGGCTTAGACTTCCCCATTAAAAGCTATAATTTTGTCAAGTAGAAATAAAACCAGATTATTTATCTTCTCAGAGGGTTCTATTTCTTGTGCAGATGGTGGAAAGGTACTTAAACAAGTAGTCTTTTAATTTAAAGAGGATCAGCAGTGGTGAACTCAAAATCCTCTGTTATGTTATATCATAACAATCCCAATAAATCAAATCACCCAGACTTCACAGGCACAAAAACCACACCTGAGAGGGGAATCAGACACCATCACTCCCTCCAGGCACAAAGTCCTTCACTCAGTCTTAACACAAAAGCTCCTCAAATATTTCAGCAGCCCATTTAGAGCAGATATCACTAATAGTACTTCATGTTCCTGTGGCTAATGGCAATTAAACACAGTCACATTCTGAAGCCACTTTTTCTACAGAGGAGGCAAATAAACAGCTGGGCACTGAAGGCAGCACTGGAGCTACCCCAGGAAGGCACTAAAGCCATCACAAACAGCCCCACTGGATCAGCAGCTCAAGGCAGAGCTTCAGTGAGTAACCCAGCTCGAAAGGACTGGAAATCCCCAGAGGAGGAGGCAAAGTGAGCTCTGAGAGAAAGGCCAGCGCTGCTCAGCGCTCCGGGGGCCTTGGAGCGTGATTACTTCTGTCACTCCTGTCTCCTCTCACGCTCCAGTGCGCTCCGAGACTTATTCCCAGGGAAAGGAGACGTGCAGGACAGCCACGGTTTAAAGTCCAGGCAGATCTAGCAAGCAGCACCCCTGCCTTTTTTTATAAAAAATTAATTTTCCTTTAATTTGCTAAACTTGGGAATTTTAAAGCAGTTCCTCCAACCAGCAGGAACAGAGACAAAATCGCTGCAAAAATGCAAAAAGAGAATCTGCTTAATATATATCTTGGGCTTCATTTAGTTTTAAATTCTGCTTTTTAAAAGTCCAGCCTTCCCTGGACATTATTTGGAGCTCAAAAAGCAAAAATAAAGGATGCAACTACCCCATTTTTGGGCAGCCAAGAGATAAGTACGTGCAGCACTATACATAGCTCAGACACACGCTATTTTTTTCAGTCTTCATTCAGCATCTACTTCTGCTCCAATTCAACATTTTACCCAGCATCCTGTCGGTGGAAATAGCTGAGCTTCATCAGATCTCCTTAACCTGTATAGGATGTAAAAATGTGAATCAACAGCCCCCAACCACATCCTACCACAAGACTGAGCTTTGCCACCACCACTTCCTATGGAAGGATCTATTTGTGGCACTGACACTGGTTGTGTGCTCTTGGCTAAGTGCATATGTGCAAGTTGCACGGACAACATGCAGTGTATGCGTGTCACTAAATCACTAAATATTCATGATATAAAAGAGTCATTTCCTCTGCTTGTGAATATCCCCATAACACGAGCTGTGGGACAGCAATAATATCTACAGGAGGCTTCAAATTATGGCATAAAGGCAAGAATGAGACATAACTTCTGCAAGGAGATTAAACATAAACCCTGCATTAAAGCAGCCAAACAAGAGTGGGATCTACTTCTTCCAGGAGATACTGTTCAGCTCTGGAATGAGCCCTGACTTGTGAGGCCTGCACAGAACCACAGGAGGGTTATCAGAACAAACATTCCTATAGGAGCTGCATGTGCTGATACTGAACAGCAACAAGAACTGCTGAGCCAAAGCACAGACACAGCACCTTTGAACTTCTTCACCCACTGACTGATTCTGCACACCTGCCCCTCCAACTCTGCCTGGCTGTAGGAAACATCCTGGAGACACTGGGAAAATGGGAATATTCTGTCCTTCTGCAGAGAAAAGGTTTGGCACACCAGGTTTCTCTCCTTAAAGAATTTGTCCAGTGTGAGAAGGTCCAGAAGGTCCCAGAGCTCTAAGAATCCCAGCTGCACTGAAGAGAGGAAGTTTTCTTTCTTTTCTCCAAATAATAATAAAAAACCCAAACAAACCAGGAACTCAATGTTTCTCCAGTGAAACTCACCCTCCAGGCAGGAAGTCCCTGAAGATGAGTTTTAAGTCTGCAGCACAAAGTCATCCCATGCAAAGCAATGCATACGGGAAAAAACAACCCTAATTATACCCATGACATGACAGGATTTAGTTCAGTTGTTATCAAACAAAAACCCTCAGACTCAGTGAGTGCCAATACCTTCAGACTAGCATCCAGTGCTCTGCAGCAGTCAAAAAGGCAAGAAGAACAATTTTAAGAGCACAACAGAAGTTACTGTTACAGCACTACAAAAATTTATTATGCAATTGTGGTGTCATCAGCTAAAAAGGGAGAGTACACACAGAAAAGGCAAGTAGAATGGGGACAAAGATAAGTATGCAACAGCAGCCATTCAGAAAACATCAAATAAATCAGATTTTCAGCTGCAAAAGGAAAACAGATGATACAACAGTTCTATAAAGTCATGAATTATATGGAGAAATTGACAGCAAACAATTGCTGCCTCTCACTGCACAGGAGAGAGTGTTTGATGAAATTACTGAGCAGTGGACTTAACAGAAAAGAAACAACAACCACATTAAACTACAAAGCTCAGTGCCAAAGATACCGTGAGATCCAAAGCGGAAATGGATTCAAAGAACAATTAGAGATACAGCTTTTATACATCCATCAAGGACTTCACAGTCCTGATGCAATCACCAGCTCATTACTGGAAGGACACAGGGAAGAAGGATTATTCCTGCCTACCTGCCAGCAACCTGACACTATGCCAGATCATTCCTTGGTCTCACCAAAGCAGAGCTGGTAATATTAAATGCTCCAGGATCAAAAAATTCTGAAAGCAGCATCAGGATGATATTTTTACAGGCTGTCCTCTGCAGCAGCATGCTTTAGCACATGCAGGCAGCACTGCCATGGCTCATTTTTTTCTCCCTATGTTTAATCCTAACATTCCCTATGGGTAATATTTCAGTCAGGTCTCCAAGACTGCATTCCTCAGACCAGTCTGCAGTTGATTACCACAGCATTCATTTGCTGTTTCTCATTTATTTTGCCCAAAGTGGACATCACAGAAAGCCCTGGAGAGCTGTGCAGCCACACAAGCAACTCAGGATGGGTCTGATGTATCACTATTGATAAGGAAACATTAGATCAGAACAGGGAGCACCTTTCTGGAAACACCTCTCCCCTTCACAGTTAGAAGCAGAAGCTCAAATTCAGGCTTCTTCTGCCAGGCAGGAATCAGCAGTGACAGATTTTTGGTTTTTACCCGGTCCCAGGACCATCACCCATGATGATGAAAGCTGGGGTTCTGCACTGGAAATCTTTAAAGATGTGAGATTTTCAGAGGTGGTTGCCACAGCAGCTCAGCAGCCTCTGGGATCAGCCAAGAGCCGAAGCTGTTTGCCACAGAGCAGTGCATGACATGCCAAGACAGCTTAATAATTGATGTTGGTAAAAGCAGGATCTATTTCTCGTTCCGACCCTCTCAGCAGCACAAGGCTGCATTAACTCCACTGTGCTGAGCACGCTGCCAACACCACTCCTTTATAAATATACATTATCTAGGCACTTTATGGACCTGGACTTCAGATGTGCTCAGGCTGAACGTAAAGAGCTTTCTAAATAAAGTTACGAGCACTTTCCCCAAATCCAGGTAAAAGCTCCAGCCCTATGGTTTACTGCAAGTCATTCTTTTATACCAAAATGTTGTCTACCTTGCCTTAGTAAAGACTTTAATACTGCTTTCCACAGTATTCTCCTGGAGAACATCCACAGCTTGGATGGGTGCTCTGTTTTCCAGGTAAAAAACCTGTCCAGGCCCAGACTGGTGGGGAATGGAGCTAAACCCAGCTGGGGCTGGGCTCAGTCCTGAGGCAGGCTCTGTTTCATACATTTATTAACGAACTGGCCAAGGAGATCGAGTGCACCCTCAGCTCACTGATGACACCAAATCTCCCCGTGCTGGACACTGCTAAGGCCCCACCTCAGATCCTGGGGGCAGCTTTGTGCCCCTCACAACAAGAAAGACATTGAGGGGCTGAAGCATGTCCGGAGGAGAGAACAAAGCTGGGGAGGGATCTGGAGCACCAGGAGCACCTGACAGAGATGGGGAGGCTCAGCCTGGAGAAAAAAGGAGGCCTGGGGAGACCTTCTGGCTCTGCACAACTCCCTGACAGCTGGGGGCAGGCATCAGGCTCCGCTCCCAGGGAACAGGGACAGGAGAAGAGGAAACAGCCACAAATTGCACCAGGGGAGGTCTAACTCGGATATCAGGAAAAGCTTCCTCACAGAAAGGGCTGCCCAGCCCTGGCAGAGCTGCCCAGGGCAGTGGTGGACTCCCCGTGCCTGGAGGGATTTAAGAGCTGTGTAAATGTGGCACTTGAGGATGGGGTTTAGTGGTGGCCTTGGCAGTGCTGGAGGAACAGCTGGACTCTGTGATCTCAGGGGCTTCTCCAACTTAAATGATTCTATGAAAATAAATTAATAAACTTTTATACCTCCAGCTGCTTTATTGTTTTAGTCCTTTGTCTCCACTTTTTTATCCAAGATAAACACAGTGCCCATCCCCTCCAAACACAACCCTAAGCTGGGTGGTGATTTACCCCTCCACACAATCATCTCCTCCCTTTGCCTAAGAGCTCTCAACGCAGAGAGAAAATATTCAGGTTATGTCACACTGTTCAAGATCTGACAGATAACCCTTGAGCAGTGATTTCCACCACCTTCATTTCCCAAACCAATCCAACAAATGGAGCACAGGACGCTCTGTGTATACTGCCAGGTTCAGATAAGGAGATAAGATACAAAGATGAATATATCAGTACAACTGGCAAGATTATTTCCCATCTCTCCCAAACTGACACAATAATATATTTGAGAAGGGGGATGGCAGAGGAGCTGACAGTGTGGAGGAAAATGCAAGACAGAAAAGGAAATGCCAGTATTTCACATAAAGCATCAGAGAAAACCATGAAACAGCCATAAGGGGGAGGGCCAAGAAATAATGCACTTCCAGTGCCAGATATTTTTTCAGTGTTGTCACATTTCAAGTCTCCTAGCTAAATGGGCACTTTCAACCCAGAAGATCCTTAAGCACTTTAAAAGCTTTAGGAATTGCACTGCTAAGAGGACCTTTCATCATGAACTAAAATTCAGTTAGTGAAACAGGACATACAGCAACACTCCATGGCAAGTTGGGGTCTCACTAGAACTGGATACTGAGAACAGTGTTTAGACAAGATTTGGATTTTGAGCAAATGGTTAATACTGTAACTCTGACACTTCATTTTTCTATTATCTCTGATTATAACAAGCACCCAAACCCAGCACAGCACAAAGCACCCACAGGAGCTCCAAAGGACCACAGGTACTGATGGGACACAGTTTAGACGTATGCCAGCTAAACATAGACCCATTTGCTCTTGCACATCAGGAATTCATTCCACCTTTGTGGATCATACCTGTCCCAGCTGGAACAGCCCATCCTGCACTCAGGCACCCATTGCTCCTCAACGCTGCCAGGACACAAACCCACCTTGCCAAGAGCTGAGCCACAAAACATCCTGTGTCTGGAGTGCTCGGGCCATTTCCCTCAGCGCTGACTGACCAAAGCGCCCCCAGGAAATCCACCAGGTCCAGCTGGGACAGGGACACCCGGCCACCCCCACTCCCAGCACAGCCCCCAAGCCCCCGGCAGCCGAGCCCACCCAGGGGACACGGCCACCCTGGCACATCCCCGCTCCCCGGGGTGGCACGAGGGACCCCGGAGTCCGCCGGCACGGTGACACACCAAGCCAGACCCTCAGGGCACGGAGCAGGGCGGTGACACCGACACCAGCACGCTGCTGGGGCGGCAGCGGGAGCTGCTGATTGTGGGTGGGATCCTCCCCTCAAAGCCGGGGGTACCACACATGGCCAGAGGGCTGCAGGGGCGGCGAGGCGGCGGTGTGGAGCGGGCAGGGCGGCGGTGGAGGGCCGAGAGGCTCCGGGATCCCCGGGACGGAGCCGCCCCTCCCGAGCCCATTCCCGGTCCCCTTCCCCGACCCCCCCCCCCAGCCCCCCCGCCCCGGGCCCCCCCCCCGCAAGCGCCCATTCCCGCCCCCTTCCCCGCCCCCCCCCCCCGCAGCCCCTCAGCCCGGAGCCCCCACCGCGCATGCGCACCGCCGCTCCCGCCGCGGCTCCCAATCTGGCAGAGCGCCTCGCCGCCCCCAACGCGCACGCGCGCCCTGCCGCCTCAACGCTGCTGCTCAATGGCTCACAATTTGGCAGCCGCCAGCGCGGCCCTCGGCGGCGCCGGGGGGCGGCGGGAAGGGGCCCGCCCCGCCCGGAGACGCGGTGGGGACGCCCGGCAGCGGCGAAACGGAGCGTTACCTGCAGGATACTCGACGTGAGTGAGGGAGACCGGCCGCCACGGCGCGGGCAGCGAGCACTCCCCGACTGCGGCCATCTTACCCGGATACCGGGCCGGGCCGCTATGGCCAATCGGGACGCTCTTGAGGGGCGGTGCGGCCAATGGGCGGGGGCGCGGGGAGCGGCGGGCCAATGGCGGCGCTCAGCAGGTGAGGCGCCGGGCAGCCCAGCACCGCCCAATTAAACATCCAGCCCGGGGAGCGCCTCAGCCAATCAGCTGGCGGCACCGCTGCCCGGCAGTGGGCGGGAGCAGGGGGAGGTACAACCAGTCGGAGGAAAGGCGGGCTCCACGACGTTTCTTCATTGGCCAGAGTTGCCGTGCGGATGGGCCAATCAGCAGCTCGCTCTGGCTCCAGTTCTCAGCCAATCAGCGGCGGCGCTGGCGCGGCGGGCGCGGGGTGCTGAGGCGGGGGCTCGGCGGGAAAATGGCCGGGCTGGGCTCCCCTCAGAGCCCGGCGGGGACGGCTCGGGCTCCCCTCACATCCCTGCACCCGGCGCGACCCACCCCAGGTTCCCCTCACACCTCGGCGGGAACAGCCCGGGCTTCCCTCACCTCCCTCACACCCCGCTGGGAACAGCCCGCGGGTTCCCGCTCGGGCTGCCCTCACACCCTTCTGCAGCCGCCACAGTTGCTGTAAAAAAAAACAAACCAAAAAACAAACAAAACCAAAAAAAAATCCACAGAAATAATTTTTTTTTAAAAAGTATTTAAATGAGAATCGTTCATTTCAGAAGGGTATTACTACATTCAGCTGTACATCACGCCATCTACATCACTGCCCTAGCCCGGGCATATTTCTCTTTTCTCCACACAGAAGTGATTCACTGGTAACGTCCAAGAGCTGTTAAAACTGAATATTTGGATTTTTTTATATAACACCTAGGAATAAAATCCACAGAAATAATTTTTTTTAAAAAGTATTTAAATGAGAATCGTTCATTTCAGAAGGGTATTACTACATTCAGCTGTACATCACGCCATCTACATCACTGCCCTAGCCCGGGCATATTTCTCTTTTCTCCACACAGAAGTGATTCACTGGTAACGTCCAAGAGCTGTTAAAAGTGAATATTTGGATTTTTTTATATAACACCCAGGAACCACAGGTGTAAAGAACAACCAGCTCCCGTGTGGGTGTGCACACGTGAAAATAAAAACCTGAAGTAAAGTCATTGAATGTCAGAATGGTTTGTTTGAGAAAGCACATTAAAGCCCATCTCATCCCACCCCTGCCATGGCAGGGACACCTTTCACCAGCCCAGGCTGCTCCAAGCCCTGTCCAACCTGGCTTTAGACACTTCCAGGAATGTGGCAGCCACAGCTTCTCTGGGCACCCTGTGCAGGGCCTCACCACCCTCACAGGAAACAATTTCTTCCTAAATCCTGGCAGAAAATCCTTTAAAGATTCCACAAAGGCCAGGCAAACACCTGGTCCAGGTCCTTTTTTCCCCCCAGAATACCTTTAACTACAGAAATCACTTTGAAGACCAAGCCAAAAGGAATGCTCCCATATGTGACCCTAGAAATAAGACTTACCTGGGGAGCCTCAGGAAAAGCAGAACATGGAGCAGCACTGGACAGAAAAGCTTTCAGAGGGTAAATCCACCTTCAGACCAAACAACCAAAGTTAATTCAATATTATAAAAAAAAAAAAAAAAAGTAGAAAAATAAATATGCAAGAGTGATCAGCAAAGGCACGGGGCTGCCTTTAATTTGCGTCAAGGAAGCACGTGGACCAGGATTTCCATCCCGTTAATTAGGATTTCAAAAAGGGCAGAAAACTCCTTTTCCTGCAGTTGTAACATACCCTCTTCAATTATGATTATGTCCCATTAATTTCAACAAGCTCTTCATAACTGACATTCTCTTTGGTATTTCAAGAAGTAAAATAGCATTAAAGTCTTATTATTTGGAAAGAAAGAGAAAATATTTACTGCAGGAGCTCAGTTCATTGCAGAAGACTGCTATGAGGGAGCATGAGTGATTTACTCCTTTCATTACTCAAGTTAAATAAATCTCCTCCTTTCCAAGCTATTGAATGTAGAGTTATGCTGGCAGAGTGGATTACATTTGATCTATGTACCATGACAAGTACTGAAAATTGTGGGCTTCATTGCTGTATTCACCCACTCCTTCCTGAACAGGAGAAAAAAGTGTCAATACACGGAGCAGCCTTTGCTCTGTGCCTCAGCACAAGAAAGCACAAAGCTGCTCTGGAGCTGTAATGAGTGTGGAGTCTGACTCCATGGAAACTGAGATAAACTCCTTTTAACTCTCTCAACTAATGATCAGGGTGTGGCGTGAGAAAAAATTTTCCTATCCATGAACATTTTATTTGCATATATCCGAGTTCATGACAGGCTTGCATTAATGCTAACAGAGACTCGTTTTTACTTTTTTTTTTTTTATTTTTAAGCGTAGGGATGAAATTTTAATCACTGTGGAAGAATCAGCCAATCTGTTTCAGTCTGGTTTCTCTATCGTTTGAAAATGAAAGTATTTAAATCCACTGTAGTTGTTTCAGGAGAGCAAGAAGATGATTTTCTTGCCTTGCTCAGCAGATAAGCAGCTCTGATACCAACCCACAGGCTTTAGTCTGGGTTTCACAGACTTTGGGAAGCTGCTAAATGCTGCAGGAACTTGGACAACGTTTGAGAGGTTCTGCTCCTCACTGGGATTTCTGTTATCTCTTCATCACAGCCTACTCACACCACACCCCAACACAGCCAAACCACCACAGAAAAATCTGAAAAATGAAACCCCACAGTTTCCAACCACAGCTCAAAGTACAAGGACTTGTTTTGTTTATTTTATAGCCCACTTCATCTGTGGACTTTTCAGCAGACCCAGGAAGACTCCCCATGCAATTGAACCCTTTAACTTCACATTTAAACCTTTCAAGTTCCTCATTTTAGCCCTAGGAACAGCAAGCCTTGTCTGATACCATCACTAGCAGCAGAGGTGCCACCACAACTGCCACCTAAATAAGAAACCAAAGACTGAGTTTCTAGCATGTTTCTCCAGGAAACTGAGGAACAAAACCACAATCATGAAGGAAAGTTTTATTTTACTTGTAATGCCCACATCCTAAGATTAAAGATATTTTTAAAAAATTAGCTGCAAAGAAAAAGATAAAAGCAAAACAAGAACAGATTTTTACACCTTTAGGAAATCAAGAAAAAAAAAATAGGCACAAGTTTACATTCATTAGTTTCAGATATGGCAAAGGAATGTTCTACTGAAGAGGGATAAATAAAATCCTGCTTTCCCACTTCCCTGTATGAGACAACACAAGTCATGCTCTTCAAAGCCACACTGATCTTGTAGATACAAGGCAGATTTCTCCTCATAATTTTTTTATTAATGTGCTTTAAAGACCATAAAGACCCTCCTAGAGCCATTTGGCACAGTCTCTACATACATACTAAAGTACCGAGGATGTACTTTATACTTTAACCTCTGGTGAAGCCTGTTACAACCTCCACATAAAAAATGAAAGTCATGCATATTTTAAATTCTGTTTAAGCATCAGACACTATTGAGGGATTTTATTTCATTGCTGCTAAGCCCCTTTAAATCCCCATCAGTGTTAAAATCTTGCAAGTGTCAGCCCAGGATGATTTAACCCCTTGACAATAAGAGCTCATCACTAAAAAAGGTGAATGTCTTATCTCAAGGGGCTCTACCCCAATACACAGCTGCTACTAATACTGAAGAATTTCCATTGCTAAACACAGTCAGCTGGGGAAGGGGTTTTCTAGGGATCTCAGGAAGCCAGAGGGCAGGCAGGTGTTCCATCACACCCTTTAACTCTACCCTGCAATACAGCTGAGTACGAGAATCACCTTTTGGGTGGGCCCTGCTCTGGGTGGGATCAGTGGAAGCAGCCTGAGGGCTGCATCCAAAGGACTTGAACACAGCAGGTGCCTGACACCCCTGCTCAGGCCAGGGAAAGCTTCTGCCACAGGAACAGCTCCTGTCAACCCCTGATCCCTGCAGTTCCCTTCAGAGGCTGCAGACACCTTTCTGCCTTTCCTCTTGAGCTACACCGGGACTGGGGAGGGACAAAAAGCAGCAATGAAGTGAGGGGGAGGTGTAGAGAAGTTTAACATCCGTCCCAGTAAAGATAAAACCAGTTTGTCTCGGCAAACGTCCTTGGCTGGTGCAGGACCAAGTCACTGCTGGAGGGAAAAGGCGGAGAACTCGACCTTCAAGAAGCTGCGGATGTTCCCGAGGCAGATTCCTCTTTACCTTCACTGGGAGGGCTGTGTAACCTACTTGCAATAAGGGCTAAGGAAAAGCATCAAGCTGTAATAAAACAGTCTTTCTTCATTTGATTGATAAGGAATTTACAATTTCTCAGCTTCAAAAGCCACAGTGCAAGTTAGTGTTTGCTTCAGGGGGACCCTGTTTCAGTATCCTCTCGCACAAGGATGCAAAAGCCCAAAGTCAGCAGCCAGTGTTTTTGTCTGTACACAAAACAGGCAGGCTGCCCAAGAACTGAGGACAAAGACACTCAAAATAGTAAATAAATACACATAAAACAACACTAAAAACAAACAAAAAAAATTAACAGCACTGATTGTTTAGAATTACAGTCCATCTCATTATATTAATCTTCACATTTTAGCATCTTTTTAACCACTATACAAAAGCTGCTGAAGTGACTTTCTTCTAAACCAGGAGCACAAAGCACTGTCAACATTATTTTTTGGCAAAGTAACTTGCTTTCAGAATATACTATACTTTCAAATCACAGTTTACATGTAGCAGGTGTGTCATTCTAATACAACATTCTCCATTTCTTTTCTTCCTGCACACTACCAGGAGCAAGACATCTCAGAGACCCTTCCTAGTTTCCACTGCTGTCCCTTAAAGCCTTCTCATAACAGTTTATTCCACGCAGCCTCACTTGGGGCAGCTGCTCCTAATTTCTGCCTCAGCATTGTCCTGTTTATTGCATTAATCTGGTTTCCAGGATAAGCCACATCAGTCTGATGTGCTTACAGAGCACCAGATGTTACTGTGCTCTACACGCACCCCCCTGCAAACAACTC